TCAGTAAATTCAATTTATCTGCAGTTTCTCTAGTTTTTAATTCAGTACTTAACTTATCATTATTTTAACATAGTTTCAAATTACTCCTGTTTTCTGAATCTAACTGAGCCCTTATTATAATTTCAATTTACATCCTTAGTTAACAGCAAACTTGTTATTTGTTTGTTTTTTACCTAACATTAAATACATAAATGAATGAAATATATATATGTTATGTAAATGTTTGAATTTTTGATTTTGTTATTTGTCAGTTTCATCCTTTGGTTGATTTCTTGACTTAATTAATAGTATGAAAAGCATAATGAGCGTGGGACTTGAGAACTTATTGGAAGATTCGATACATCTACCAGCTGATGTAAAACAGCTGCAATTTGATGTTTTAATTATGCGTTATCGTTGCCACATGACCTATTTCAACTGCACCATGTCTATGCGTTTTTAAACTGCTGCCTGTGAGATAAGATTCACTACAGAAATGTTGTTAATTTGGAGCAAATTGTTTTAATGAAAGTGAGAATTCTTTGATAAAAGTGTATGTCAAAATATATTTACACTTTTAGAAATTGCAAGAAATATTTTATGCTATTGATTTTATAACCAGAACAAATAAAAGAATTAAATTTAATTGTACTATAGACGAGTATATTATCAAGAGAAACAATTTATAGCAGGTTTGTGCATTTAAGGTGAATAAAATCTTCGGCCTTTTTAAATTATTATTAGGGAAATCTGAGGCTGAAAATTTAGTAAAATAAATTACTTTTCCTTTCATCAACCAAAAATGGCCAGGTGGTTAGGACGCTCGACTCTTAATCTGAGGGTCGCGGGTTCCAATCCCCGTCACACCAAACATGCTCGCCCTTTCAGCTGTGAGGACGTTATAATGTGGCGGTCAATCCCACTATTTGTTGGTAAAAGAGTAGCCCAAGAGTTGGCGGTGGGTGGTGATGACTAGCTGCCTTCCCTCTAGTCTTACACTGCTAACTTAGGAACGGCTAGCGCAAATAGCCCTGGTGTAGCTTTGCGCGAAATTCAAACAAACAATAAATCAAACCATGACTGTCAAAATATCTTGCTTAAGCCTTATACTTTAATACCATACAAAAGTGAACCAAAATAAAAAAACAATCTTGCCTGTAGCTCTTTCTCCGTGAAATGTTAAGGACAAACACAATAGCTTGAGAAAGATTCTTTACATTTTCAGTTTTGTTAATGGAAGATTTTAGATGCTTCATAAGAATAGCTTCCTTTTTTTTTAATGTGTAATATTTTTAGGCAGAGGCGTCGATAGGTACCTAAATGATGCGGACTCGTGCCAAGAGGCGCGGGAATTTTCGGCGTTTCAGTATAATATCGATCATTGTTTTTTTATTCGTATTGTTCAAGACACCAAGTGGGGATTTAGGGCATTATCAAATAGAATCAGGGCAAGGGGCCCATGTGCCAGCTCTTAGCGACGCCTCTGTTTTCAGGTTTATTGATTTCCCTATAAATATCGAATAGTTAGCGGATTCGACCAGGAATTTTGTGGAGTAGTCTGTGCTTGAAAAATTGATTGATTATTCTTGTGGGTGAGAAATAATGAGAGTGGACAAATTTAATAAAATAAAAATACCCCTTATTACAAAAAAAACACCCACACACCCACAAAGAAAACGCAGTTTAGGTACTTGCGCACAACTAAAGTCAGTTGCTTCTAATGGATCGTGCTTAGTTCCAAAGCTTTCTCTCTCTCAAGACGGATTTCCGCAGAAATAAAACACGATGGTCTTAAAGTATTATAGAACTGAACCAAGAACATGTGCTCAATTCTATAGATAAACTTGGTTTCTTTGCCTAATGACAACGCCATCCTGTGACCCTTGTTCTCTCGCAGCGTTGGTCGGCTGTAACATACAGACATTACCAATTCGCCCAGCAATTCGATCAGTCACTGATCCTTTCAACATGGATGCTGTTACTGCAATATCATCTCCCTTGGGCGGGATAGACGTTGTCTACTATAGAGAACAAATCAACTATAATAAGGCAACCTGGCCGACTTTCTGGACCATGTGGTTATGCTAAAACTGGGTATAAACTAAAAAACAAAAATGTAAAAATTCTTATATTACTAAAAGTATGAAGAAAACATGATATGACATGTCTGCATAGCATAAGTTTAAGAAACTGTAAAGACTTTCAAGTCCCCATGTGAGTCAGCAATAAGTTTACAGACTTTCAAAACTAAAATGCTGATTTGATTCCCTATAATGAACAGTCTAATGTATGGATTTGAAGGCTAGGACAAATTACACACACAGACGTTCAGAAAACAAAATTTACAAACTTACAGAGCATTATATCTGGGCAGATATAATGTTTTGTTGTTACTGGCTAAACAAGTTGATCGGGGGGGGGGGCATTGTTTTTTCGATTACTAAATTAATTCTTTACTTCATAGCCTGTGTTAAAAAAATGCCCGAAACTGTCACGAAGAATGTGTTTTAATTTAAAGTAAAATATGTTCAGAATGTTTCTAATGGAAGCCATACAATAGCTTGAAAACTAAATTGGCTCACAGAACACTGCATCCCATTGAATTCTTCATTGCCATGAGATTCTTAGATCATGGAATCCCAAGTGGTGGTATCTGCAAATCTTGTTTACCAACAGTTGTCCCCCACACCATGCATGAAGTAAACAAAATAATATAGGTATATTCATTGTCAGCGGTGTGAGAACGGTGTCCCCTTACATTTTTTTAGCTGACCTTATAAATATCTAACTTCGTAAAGTTTTGCCCACCTCTAGAAGAAAGAATTATTTACCCTTTCATCCAGGTTGTAGGCAAGTTATCAAAGTATAATGAAAGAAAATATTGCAAAATAAAATGTATAGTTCTGTTAGTATTGATCACAAAGTTCCAAACAACTTATGGTCAGTGTTTATACTTTTCACACTTATTTTCTGTAGTTATTATATTGTTAGCAACTGACTTAGAAACTCGACGAAACAAAATGAATAGTACTGTCGGGACTTTTCAGTATGGACCATAAAATTTCAAAATAAATCTTCTGAGAATTTCTACTTCCAATCTTTTCACACATATATCCTATGTTTACTTTATTGTTAGTGGCTGAAGTAGAAACCTTTCAAAAATAATGCAATGAATTGCCAATCTTGGCATTATATTTTTCCCGGCTTCGAAAACACAGTTGGGTAGGGTTTATCGGCTTGTTTGTAGTACAGTAATTCCAATAAGCATTGTCTAAAGTACTATATAAAAGTGAAAGAAATTATTTACGATATGGCTGTATACAAAGTCTGATCCAATAAACTTGTGACCCGCAAACAACGAGTCGAGCGCCCTAACCACCAGGCCTAGAGTAAACAAAAAATGTATAATAATGTGTCAACCATATGTATACCATATCGGGTGCCGACAAGGCCTTTCGTCCATTACCAAGATTTATCAGGCCAGCTAGGATACAAAATCTGCTTGTTGTTGCTTGTTTTACAGCAAAGCCACATTGAGCTATCCGCTTTGTCCACCGCGGTGAATTGAACCCCGGATTTTAGCGTTGTAAGTCAGTATACTTACCGTTGTACCACTGGTGGATAATATACAACAGCTAAATAGTGGTTCAGATGCTATTTATATTGTTACGACAGCGGAAGTCACGTGACGCTAGTAAACACGTAATGAGTATCTAGAAGGTTCGTGAATGCTCGAGTGTTTGCTAGATGTGCTGTATTGTAATATATAAGGCCGACAATCAATCGAAATGGGAATAACAGACAGAGAGATTGAAGATATAGACGGACAATTGAGTCAAGTGCGGTAGTAAATAAAGTGCGTGAATCGTTCGTTGAGAATTATAGCGTGTGTTGAAGTTAAAGTGACTGTGGAAATTAAGTGTATTGCAAAGTTGTATTGAGAAAGAATAAACTAGTTTTATTTAAGAAAGGACTTGTGTCGCTGATGTTCTTCGGAAAGAATTTTTACGGGTAATTAACCAACGAACACGGAGGCGTAACAATATTATCAAGTTGCGTGAACAACTGTTATTGTGTGAACTAGAGTAAGTCGGTAAGTGTGATTTTTTATCATTTTAGCATAAATCATTTGCACATCAGAATTAGGATAAGGATAAATAACGCACTACTGATTATTTAGTGTAACACCAATAATTTATTATCATTATTTATTTAAACTGGAATTAACTTGACTCGTCATTCATAAGGACTGGTGAACCAGTAAGGTAGTCTTATTATTCCTGGTGTGGCTTCAATTGTTCACACGGGCATAAGAACCAAGAAGGAACTCATGATCATTTGATATTTGCATAAGCATTCCATTATAGAATACTAGAGATCTCATTCATGAAAGTCAAAATGGCATGTACAATGACGCACTACAACACAAGTTCCCTCCTGACATCCCGTTATTAATGGGACTTGTCTGATACTTGGGCAGAAATCAGTTTATCTGAGAATACCACAATATAAATTTTAAGAGATTATAGAAATTTTACAACTTTTATTTCTAAACAATGTTTATTTACAAATATAATTTAGGTGAATATATATATATATATGGTTTATTTAATTATTTAAACAAAGTAAAGGTATCTGCACTCCTTGAATGCGATTGCATTGCGTGAACAACCATTACAATACATATTACAGTGATTAGATTTTTACACACATATATTTATAAGAAAATCATATTTAATCCGTAAGAAATTTTACATTGTTTTGCTTATGTGTATTCAGTGAATTTCTTGTTGTCTGGTTTCCATTTTCATATTTAATTTTTGGAATAATACTGTGAGTTGTCCTTTCTGTTTATTTGATAATGTATTCTACTAGCTGCTTAATGTACTTTATTTCATTAAAATGCAAACTTTGATTTGAACTTAAGTTCATGATTTTTGTATTTTAATTAACATTCGAAATATTATCAAATCCAGATATTTTTTCTAATAAAATAAATTTATTTAAAGATGGCGTAGCTATTAAAGTGACATCATTAATTTGAAATGTTTTTCATTATGTGTCCTCTAAAAATTTCTATTTTAATTGTGATATAATTCTTTTGAATATATTATTAAGGATTAACGTATTTTAGAAGTTTTACAAATCAAAGATTGCCGTGGAAAATAAGTATAAACAATCGGGTAGTGTGTGGAGACTCAAGAAAGTGATTCGAAAATTGTAGAACTTTGGACTAACTCAGATCTTACCGACTCAAGTCAAGAATAGAGCCTGTGATTGTAACTAAGTTTGGTGTTAATAATAGTTAAGATTTTTGCGTTTCTTTATCTAATTTGAACATTTTATCGCATTGATTTTACCTGAAATTTAATTTATTATCAGTTTCATTTATAAGCCTAAAATACAGAGTGACAGTTAAACTTCAACAAGGTTAACTTTAGTTTATAAAACAAATATTAATATCGCCCTTTTAAAAATACTATTAGTATTACTAGGACTCCTAGTAGGAGTACTACTACTACTAATTCAGACGTAGATCTAATTAATGACATTAACAGTTAAGACTAAAGTTAATTGGTTATTAATCAACTTCAACTTAAGTTTTAGTTAGCACATTTATTAACTTTATAAGTTTATTGTGTCGCAGCACTACAATTTATATTTATATTTGAGGCTTAATTTTTTATATATTTGAATTAAAAACATACCTATAGAAAGGTGTTAAAAATCCATTAAAATTAAACTTAGCATTATACCTAACTACTATTTTCTGTATTATTACTAGAACTACTCTGCAAAAAATTAGTTCTGCAAAAAAAGCAGCCAGTGTGCCTTTGTATTTATGCTATTGAAATCATGTTTTCTTGAACCTATTGGTATTTTATGAAGAGAATAAGATCTAAGTATTTTAAACCATATCCTTAGATGAATTCTTTAAAAAGAAAATCTTGAAATGTAGTTGGTAAAGTGAAATCTTCCAATAGCAGAATTGCAGGTATGTTTTGTGCATGTTGCCGATAGGAAAGAAAACTTCTAGACTTTCTTTTTCCAATAAACACAAGGATGGAATGCTTTCATTCCATTGCCAATTTAATGGGTTTAATTTAAGGACAGCAAGTGACCTATTGGTTCACCTAGACCATCTCGTCCTAAACTTTAAAATAAAACTCAAAATCAGCTCTTATCATTCAAATGTTTATCAAGCATTCCCTTAAATTTACTGCATCCACCACATCTGAAGGTAACCCATTCTAAAGGCCAGTTGCCCCATTAGAAAAATAAAATTGTCTTAACTGAAGATGACTGGCTCTTACCCTGTCAAATATATATTTGTGTCTTCCTAGTTCTGTCATTCTCAGCATTAATTACGAAAAAAGATGATGCATCAATACAATGAATTCCCTTAACACTCTTAAACACTTCAATCAGATTCCCACTAACATTTTTTTTTCAAGAGAAATCAATTATAGAGATCTTAATCTCTCTCCTGTGTCAACCTTTCCACCCCCAGGTATCATCCTAATAACCTTCCTCTTAACCTTTTTCAACAATTCAGTGTGCTTCCTAAGGTAAGAAGCCCAAGACTGAACACAATACTCCAAATGTAACCTAACTAGTGACCTATACAATGACATTATAACCTTAGTAGACTTGTGTTCAGTATTTCTGTGGACACAACCTAAAATATTTGGCCTGCCACTAGCAACAGCACACTGCTTGGATGTCTTAAGAAACAGATCAACTAGAATGCCAAGATCCTTCAATTTCATAGCACTTTTAAGGCATTCCCCTTAAAATTATACTTATAATTGAAATTATGATACCACACATGGACTGCTGTGTGTTTATTATGGTTAAAAGTCATCTGCCATTTATTTACTCAACTCGCCAAATAATCCAGATTATTTTTTTAAAGTAGCAACATCCCACTCACAGCCCGCAATGCCCAAAACCTTAATATCAGCAAATTTAATTAATTTATTGACCATTCCTTTATCTATCATTGAGGTAAATTAAAGGAGCAAAGGTCCTAATACTGAGCCTTGAGGTACTTCACTTGTGACATTAATCCAGTTTGAATAAACTCCATTTATAATAACCCTCTGCTTTCTTCCATCTAACCACTTTTCCATACAGTGAACTAACTTATCCCATATATATATGTACAAAATTAATTTTCTTAACAAGCCTTTTATGTAGCACCTTGTCAAGTGGTTTCAAGAAAATCCAGATACATCAGATCCATATCTTATCTGAATAAGCAGTAAACAGTAACCTTCTCAAAGAATGTTGAAAGAGTAGTAAGGCATTATTTTCCTCTAGTGAAACCATGTGGACCATCCAACAAAATTCTAAACTTTGTTAAATGTCTTTGCAAAGCATCTTTCCTCAGACTTTGAAAAACTTCCCACCACTGATGTAAGACTAATAGGCTTATAATTATTGAGAAAATTTTTATCATCGCTCTGGAAAAGAGGAGCAACATTGACCAACTTCCAATCTTGCACCTGCCAACTATTTAAGGACTTACAAAAAATAGTAGAAGTAGGTCATGTATCCAGTTCTTAAATCTTCTTCAAAACCCTTGGGAAAATGTTACCTAGCCTAGGAGACTTATCATTCTTTAAACTTCACCATGTTTTCTTGATATGCTCAAAATTAATGTGATTATCATGTTCAGTTTTGTTCCCATATAGCAACTGTTTGGGGTGATGAATATTGCTTAAGTCTTAATTACTAAAAATTGAAGAGAGAGTAGAATTTAATAAACCAGCCATTTTGTAACTGTCAGATATGTGTTTACTTTAGCATTCCTGAAAGGCCCTACTCTCATCCAAACATTTTGCTTTACCCTTAATGTACTTGTATAAACCCTTACTATTAATTTTTACATTTTCTGAGAGTTTTTTTTTTCATATACCATTTTTTGATTTCCTTTAATTCTATCTCTTATACCCTTTGTGAAACAATCTGGTTTTTTTTACTCGCAACCACATATTTTTGTAAGGAACATACCTATCTTGAATATTTAAAAAAATTTCCACATTTCATCATTATCTTCAATTACTTACGTTGTCCAACTTATAACAGGTAATTCTTGTAACATCTCTTCAAAATTTGCTTTTTTGAAGTTTGTAACCAAAATCTCATTATTTTTTATCTCCATATGCAGTAAAACATCAAACCTAATTGGGCAATCATCATTTGCATCCCTGTGTTCTCCACAAGTTAACAATATATCTAAAATAGCATTGTTCCTGGTACGTTTCTTGATCAATTGATAAAGAAAACCATCCTGAACAGTTTCTAAAAGCCTGTCTCCCAAACTATATGCCTGAAATTAAAATTCTCCATAATTATGACCCCATTTACAGTTGAATATTTTATCTTGGTGTGGTTTCTCATTAATAAGTTTCATCTGTTGGTCTTCAACAAATTCCAACTTAAAGCCTTATACTCGTATAACCTATAACAGAAACCCAATTGGATCAGTTTCCTTGCTATTAGCTTTGATATCTCCAATGTGAACAGAATGTAACTCACATTCTTGCATCTAAATCTACTCTCTACTAAATAGTCTATAACCCTATATTTCAAAAAAATTCGTCATAACAATTTTCAACATTTAACCAAGTTTTGATTATTCTCATCATATCAAAATTCTTTGTTGCAACTAGTGCTCTAAAGACTTCTATTATTTTTCTTATGTTTCTATAATTACAATAATAACAGTTTAGCATAACCTTACAACTACTTCTATACTTTGTTATAACACTTATTTTCTCTACATCTAATTGTTACTTTGCTTAATGTATAGTTTATTCTGGCCCTCAGCAATGTCTTAGTCATAGTTTAAAGCTTCCCTTACAGTTGAGTTAATAGCCCTTGCAAATAAGGTGGCTTATATCCTATCTAAATGTAAGTCATCCATTCCAAAAATCTTTCTCTTCTCATTGAAATGTGTCCACAAGTCAAAACAGCCAATCTGCACATTCTTACACATTAACATAAGCTTAACATTTAGCCCTAGTGACTTATTTATAATTTCATCCCCATGATTAAGTCTCAACACTATCCATGACAGATTTAAATTATAATGGCCCTTTTTTTCAAATGTACATATAAATTGGCTGCTTTAACCTACCCTGCCCTACATCATTAGATCTTATGTACACTGCAAAGAATGCATCACTGCTAGCACCCTTTACTACATTACTTGCTCCATCAGTTATATCCTCCACACCTGCCCCTAGATAGTACAATCTAATTCTTTTCTCTCTATGTACCTTACAGACTGTCCTATCTACATGCTGTATTAAAGAATCACCTACAATTATAACATCCTTATGTTTTTCATTCCCATTCCTATTTGTTCATTTTCTTTTCCTTCTCTACCATAGTTCATCTGCACAAGCTAAAGATTAAAATCTGTTATATAATAGAACCTGCTCATTGCAATTAAATCTACTACTTCTAGCCCTATTAGTGCTATTTAACTTCCTGAGAATCAATATTAGCTCGTGTATCCTTTCTGTGTAAAAGCTTAAGTTCCTCTTGATATCATGCTACCGTTTCACACAGTTTACCCTTCTCTTTATCACTTTTATTCTGCTCTGTTTAGGTTAGCCCCATATTTCTTCTGCAAACTGCTAATCCTTACATCTTAACTCGAAGCCTAGGGATGATTTTTTATGCTATTGCTGTTAGATGATGTCTCCTGTATGCTGTTATGAGATTCATTATTTATGGTATTGAAGTCATGAGTTGTTATGCTTTTGCATGGGATTTGGTGAAAAAAATGTTGGCAATCTAACCTTTTTATTTTGTGTTAACTACATTTCAGATGTAGCTTGTTTGGTCTATTAATATTGTTAATAGCAATTTCTTAATTTTTGTGACCTTATAATAAGCTACATAAAATCAAAGTTGTGGTGTTTATTTTTTTAAACTTGAAATAAAATATTTTTTGCCAATAGTTCTATTACATGTTATTTCAAGTCTTTTTTTTTCTTATTTTCTTTGACTCTGTGGGTATAAACATAAGAGCAAGCAAGGTGCAGAAGTCTTTTCAGTTCATGATGTTACTTCAAATCTTCAAAGAAAGAAAACTAAACCATTCCTTTTTTTCAAGTAACCTTTTACATCCACATCTTTTAAAAATCAAGCACACAGTATACTACTTAGCAATTTTGAGAAACAACTGCAAATCTGTGTCTAGATTTTCCAAGCTTATTAATATGTGTAATAGTTATTGTTACCAACTGATAAATCCAGTTAAAAAAGAATACACTGTCTTTTCAAGCTGTATTGTAAAACGTGAATATCTTTTTTTATCTTCCTTGTTTGATAACCAAAAACAAGTGTAGAATTCTTAGGCCTTTCTTTATAGTGCAAATGTTTTTTAATGAGATAAGATTCTAGTAGTCCTCTTCCACATAATTTTCATCAGGCTTATATTTTACTTATAATAGAGAAACCAAAACTGTCATACGACTGCCAAATTCTACCATAATTTATATTTTGAATAATCGTTTTCAGAAATGTGGGATTTTAACATTATTAGGAGGTATAAGTTATTGTACTATAAGCTTTTATAATGTGTTTAATTAGTATGGTCACAAATATAGATGACCTTTTATTTTGCCAGGGTTCTACAGGCTTATCTCTTTAAATAACAGTTTTTTGTAATATCTGTTGCTAATGTTGGTATTTTTTCCCTATATATACTGGTTTATTCATTTTATAATCTTACAGCTATTTCTGTTATTTAGAAATGGCCTTGACAGTCTTAGTGATAGAAATAAAACATAAGTGATTTTAAGTATTGAGAAGTGTAAACTTATGCACCTGTGGCTCTTGCTAATTTGGAAAGATGTGTGTGTGTTTTGAATAAAGAAAGATTTATGTATTCTTGTTGCTAAAACCTTGAAGTCTTACAGATCAGCTGATTGTTTATCCAATCAATTAGCTTAAGTTCAAGGCTTGGAAGAGGAGATTTTCAAGGTAAAGGTTGTCCACTTATACAAAGGAACTGTACCACTTTCATGGTAAAGCTTACTCTGCAGTGAAATGATGAAGCATCATCTGGGTGTGAGATGTCTCAACCTTACTGAGGCAGTTTATGGGAATGTGGTATAAAGCAATTTCAAACAAGTGAAAAGAGAGGGAGAAGTCTGTAGTGGCTCTACCTTGAACAGACCATCCTTTCCAGGCACCCACATTGTGCTAGCTCAATCCAAGTCGATGATTAATCAACCATTCTCTCATCCCATCACTGTAGCGCAACCACACTGGTATCCAATAAATGGGTAGGGCTATCTTGGTCCTCTCATGCTGCAACATATAAATCCACATGGACATTATTCTAGAGGGGAGGAGTGAAGCAGTTATTTTGCCTCTAAAGCAGTGGGGCACTTTTGAGTGATTTACCTATACCTTATACCTTGCCAAACAGTAAGGTAGACAAGGCAATTGGTTCAACAGGTAGATTTGCTAGTGCAGTAGAGCCAACAGGTGTTGAACAATATTGCTACAGCATTAGGAAACTAGTGAATGGATATAAACTAGATATGAATGACAAGGTGACTTTCTGTTTATGCTGAAGAGGCATTTCTCACAGAATGAAGGTGGTTGTCAGTCTTGGGAAGGATGTATTTTGAAGCTTTGTCTGTGCAGTCAACAAACTGATGTTCCATGGGAGAGTTGTCAGACATTGGCCAGAATGGATCCAGGAAGAGTGGACTGCATAAGTATATGTAAGAAAGGAAGTCACACTGCCCCCATGTACACAAGTGGCATTCCATGGTTTACTATGGATGAAATCTAGTACACTGCTGCCATGAAATGTGGTTATACTCTTTCCTGTCCAGAAAGCAAACAGCAGTAGCTTGGGAAGTTATCTTTCACCCAAAAAGGGATGAAGTCCTGGTGTTTTTCTTCTGTTGTTGATCATAAATTATCCAGCTTAATGTGAATGGAGTGGAAGAAAACAAGGCTAACAATAATGATAGGGTTATGTCTATGCTGCGTTTGAAAATTACTCATAGTTACCATTACATCTGAGGTTGCTAGTTGAGGATTGTGCAGACAATCTAGATTCAGTGCAATGGCAGCAACTCAGCAACTTGTTGGCTGAATATTTCAGTGTATTTGTGGGACCAGATGGCTAGTTGAGTCAAACAACAATCACACCACATAGCATACACATCCATCCTATTTGATACCACTGTGTGAGTTTCCATGGAACTAGCACCGAGATGCGGAAGATATATTTTGTGTTTTAATATGTATGTATCATTCCAGTTATATTTTGTATTGCCTCCACATCACTTCATCATGTTTACATTCTGAAATGTATGTTAGTATTTGGTTGTTTCTGCTTTGTCCTCTTTTCACTTGGTTCAATGCATCTCGTAGTATTGTAGTGGAAGGTTTTTACAATGTCTGTGCACTTTGTGCTTTTTGCACTGTGAATGTGCTCAATAACATGCATTATGTTTTGTGAAATTTGTTATGTGAATATATGTGCATATTTAATTGTTATATTTCCTGTAATAAATGTTTATATACATATTAACAGCCACATGAAAGGTGTAAAACTGCTTGCATTGAGGGAGAATATGAAATCTGCTTTAATAATGCAATTAACACAATTTTTTTGTATCAACAACAGAGGCTGTGTAATTCAAGCATTTCTGACACACACACATGCATGCACACCTAATATTACCAGAAATGTGGGAAAAAAGTTTTTGTTTTTTTTAAGAACAATTTGTCAAAAATATTACATCTAAATTTAATTCATGTAACTGTTATTGCCTTGGGTATAAAATCATTTTTTATAGTAAATTATTGTTTTTTTTGATTACAGGACATTGATAGCACAAGTGACTAGGTGACTTGTTCAAATGAATATGGCTGACGACCCATATGATAAGCCTCCAGCCCCTCCAGTTCGACTGACTAGTGCTAGGTACACAAAGTCTTATTCGTTTTTTACACACTACGTCTCTCTTCAACTTGCTTATAAAATATATTACACAATGAATAATGGTTTAATTATAATTTAAAGGTATGTTAATTAGCTGATTTACAAAATTTGCAGAAATATTGTTTATATGTATTTTCTAAATATAGTAAATTCATTGAATAATTTAGTTCTCTTTTAACTGCTTATATAGAAAATAGACTATAGAATATATTATCAATATGATATACACATCTAGAAATTTGAAAGGATTTTAAATAACTAACATAACTGGTGAAAACTTTGTTATCAGTGTTATTGTTTTTAGTGTTCTGATTTTGTGTCATTGTTTTGTGTAAAATTTTGAATATATGGTGAAGTGATACAAAAATGTTTACTTAGAGTCTTCAGGTACAGTTAACTTTTGGCATATGTAATTGTTTGCCATGTGTCTGAATTTTGATGAAGTATTATTTAAAGAAGGCATTAAAATTTCTTTCTTGAGTATATACATGTAGTTCAGGTTTTTTGTGTATGTCATCAATAAATCTAATAATAATTGACATATAAATTCCATGATGGAAGTAAACCTGTGGAGCTCTGAACATTTAATGAACCTAAGAAATATTAATTTGGTAATTTATGCATGTCAGTGTTTCATGTAGCTTCAGTTACTGGATCTATTATAATGTCAGAATGCCTTGAAAATTACCAAGAGACAAAAGAAAAAAAACTTAATTTTGATACATATGTTTAAAATACAATTTTTGAAATATCTTGTACAAGGTTTTGTGTTATTGATACCATTATACTTTAGTAAATTTTATCATAGGAATAAGTTTTAATTTTCTTTTGTTTTTACCAATATTTGTTTTTGGATAAAATAATGATAATTGGCATAGGTACTGTTTTTATGTTTTCAGTGATAAGTAATGGACTGTGCAATATAATTTGTTCTTTCCATTTCCTGTCAAGCCCCAAATATATCTCATTTGTCAGGTTTCCAAAACCTATGAAAAATATGGTTATTTTACACTTGTAATACAGACAATAATGATGCTACAAAAGAAAATTTATCAGAAAACATCTACAACACAAGATATAAAAGAAACAGTTTTTAAATTCATTTTCATTTTGTTGCTTAGAGCTTTAAATTGCTAAAATTGGTAAATCATGGATGAGCAATTCATTTATTTATTGAAAAGTTAATCGACTATTGTTTCCTGTGATTTTTTTTTTATTGTATAATATTAATTTGTGCATCTGATACCCCAAGGAAAACTGTTTTAAATGATAATATATATATGTTACATATGTAAATAAGTTTTTCTACAGTTTTTAGAGAGCTTTAATGAAGCAATTGTTAAGCATAAAACTATCATAAATTTGTAGCTATTTTTAATGACATTTTTAGGGCAAGAAAACTATGATTTTGTATCTGCCCGAATTAATACTTGATGTAGTCAACTACATTACTCCCCTCCAGCCCCATTCATAATAACAACCTCAATAACATTTAAATTTTTGTCTTCCAAAACTCAAAATCACTCTAACCCATTAAAAAGGATTAAGTTTCTTTTTTTTTTTCTCTAAATAGTAAGCATTGATAATAACCTAATATGTTGCAGTTAACATGTTATTGTGTGAACACTTTTGAAGGCTATCAGTTATGCAGAATAAACATTCAATGGAACACTGAGTTGTACAGATTATGTTACATGTATCGACTAATAAAAAATTAAAAGAATTACTGGTGTCTTTGGTATGTTGGCTATGCATGTATTATAATTTAATAAATTTTTCACTTTCTTACTTATTAGTGGTATACATAGGGAATTAAAATATAAACACTTGACAATCTGAGCTTAAAGTATATAATTTTCAAATATTTATTATGCTGAAGTTTTGAAAATGTATTTTTTCAAGTCATCATTTTCTACCCTATTTTCATTGTCTTCTGTTATTTTTTTTTGCAGATCTTGTTTCGATTTTATAAGAAATTTGTTGCTAATTTGAGCTGATGAAATAGAATCATTCCTTTTCTCTGTTTTATGTTTTATGGATTTTAGAGATTGGTCCTTGATTAAGATTTGAAAGTATTGGGGTAAAAATTTTCAGTTATTACAGATGCAAAGTAAGACTTTTAGAACAAACTAAGTGATAATACCATGTCCAAAAAAAGAAACTTGTATATTCCTACATTTTTATATTCTGTAAGAGATACTGTGTAAGTTGAAACTCAAAAGAAGATTTTGTTTCAGGGATTCTTCATCAGTACCTGTTGATATGAAGCCTCTTCCCAAAGAACCTGACAGTGAAGAAAAGAAGAAAGTGAAATATGGAACACCTTCTTTTTTTTATTGTACAGAACAACAAGTTAACTGACCGTTACCTTATAAATTAAGTGGTCTTACTAATGGTAGAACGTAACTAAGGTTTGTTCGTAACTTAATTTA